CTCTTTCAAGAACAAGTCAGAGGAACAAGCAGTGAATCTCCTGTCACTGATCCCTAGTGGCTTATTGGAGGCACAAACAGCTGCCAACAAAGAGGTGACAGTGGCTGGGCATGGAAATATACAACTTGGAACACAGCAAATGATATTAGTCTGTGTTTGCTTCCTTGCTCCAACCACTCCGATCATCATTCTTCTATGTTCAGAATTTTTTCTGCTTTTCCTTCAGACAGGAAAAAGAAGAAAAAAAGTGTGTGGGGGGGGAATATGATCTGAGAGAAATGAGAAAAAATGTGCTTGTGGTATTCTGCCCAAAGGCAAGCCGGCAGTATTCACTTTGACCTTTGCCTTTTATTGTAAGCAAGCTCCAGCCTTTATCTCTCTCTCTTATGTACATTGTCCTGATCCTGCGTTCCCTCATCATGGGTGCATTTCAAACACTATGGGAATTTTCATAGTGAAGATGCAAGGGAGAATAAAAATCATGCCCCATTGTGCAATAACTGTTTCTCCCTCTCCCCATTTTTTGTTGTTGCTGTGAGTGTCATTAGAAAGGCTCTGAACAGATAAGGCTGAGGCAACTGGGTTTCTCATTGGAGTTCAAAAAAGGATCACTTTGGCAAACAAAAAGACCCCACCAGCACCACAAAGCAACAGTGAAGTGGCACTGGGCCCAGAGCTGCTGCCAGATGGGTAGAAAGGGTTGGATGGGGTTTCTTTGGGGTGGGGGCAAAGCCATTAGGGGTTCTAGACTCTTAGCTGCCATTTAAAAAAAAAGCTTTAAAAGTTCTTACGTGCTGTGGATCAAACCATATAAGCCTAAATGTGAACATACACACACACCCCGTTTTTGTGAAATGAGCAAACCTGGTTCGTAGTCGCCACCTTACAGGGTTTTAGCCAATGAGTGATGTTAGAGCTGCAATTGGCAAGTACAGTGGTACCTCGGGTTACATACGCTTCAGGTTACAGACACTTCAGGTTACAGACTCCACTAACCCAGAAATAGTACCTCGGGTTAAGAACTTTGCTTCAGGATGAGAACAGAAATTGTGCTCCGGTGGCACGACGGCAGCAGGAGGCTCCATTAGCTAAAGTGGTGCTTCAGGTTAAGAACAGTTTCAGGTGAAGAACAGACCTCCGGAACAAATTAAGTACTTAACCCGAGGTACCACTTGTAACCATTTTGGAAGAGCTAGGAATTATTAAAGCTATGCTTTCCTGTTTCTATCTCATTACTGCCCAGACATGGCCTACAATGGTGTGTGCACTCATCATGTGAGTTGAGTGAGTTTGTGGCTTTCAGCAGCAACATATCTACCTGGCTGCCCACTGTTCTCTGTCTGTGCACATTCTTGCTCTGTGCTGGGATTCTAATGAGACCATGAATTGCACACAAGTTCCTAATATAAAGGAATGTAGCCTCTTCCATGGCTAACCATAAAGGATGACTGTAGCTCAACAAGAAAAGGCAGGGATGGTACGTGTATACTGTGCATTTTGTATATTTGTCTTGTCCTGGTCCTTTGAGCAAAACATCTATTGCTGACAGTCCAGTTATGTAGCATTATGCCTTCTGCCTCCTTCATACAGAAATACTTAACAAAATGTGTTTTAAGTTTATAGTCAGTGCTAGATTCTTCCATACCTGAGCTTTTCATGCACCTCCTTTGCACCTGCCAAGACTCCCTCCCCTTTCCAATTAAAACAAAGTTAGCTGAGGTTGTTTCTCAGGGCGTTGTTGTTGGTTTTGAGGGGATGTTTGATTGGCAGGGGGTGTTGCCCTTTCTTTTTGTTTTGTGTTTAGTTTGTTTTGGGGTGTATGTAGGTCTTTCCCCTGCTTTTGATGCGGATTTTGAGCATCGTTGTGTTTCTCCTGTGAAATGGGTGCATTTATGGTGCCCATGGCAGTTTCTAAGATTTCCAAATCTGCCTGCAGGCCTAAAAAGGTTGGGAACCCCAGATCATAGAAAGCTAGATGGAGCAATGATTTTACCCAGTACAAAATACCTTTCTACCTTCATATGTCTTTGTATGTGAAGTGGTAAAAGAAGGAAAGCTTTGTTACTGTGGCCTCTGTACTCAGCAGGCAGGCATAGAGATAATGTTTTTTTGGGGGGGGGGAAGATGCAGAGAAATAAAAGAGAATGAAGAGGAAGGGTCAGAAATTGGGGGGGGGGCACAGAGTGGAGGAAGAGATTTGTGAGAGGAGGGAGCCTGTGGCCCTTAAACCATCTGCACTGGGATGTGCTTTGGAATAAGTTTTCTTCCCCTTTTCAGTATTGACTAAGCTGTGTAACTGAATTTCCAGTAACTTTCAGGAGACCACTTTTTTTTTTTTTTAATGGTGGATGAACTTATTGCAGTTCTTACGCAACATTTTTTGCAACGTTGTAGAACTATTGATTTTTAAAGAGATCTGCAATAGACAAACAAACAAACAGAAAGAAGGGGAAACTTCCCAGTCTGGTAAATATGTATGCAATGTGTCCCGACATGGGGGAGTGGTGAGGCTTCTAGGCTGACATGTGACAGGCGAGAACAGCTGCTGATTTAAGAGAAGCACAAAAAAGATTGCTGAACTTTTAAAGCAGAGGTATAGCAAAAGTTAAATTTAGATCACTTTCTTTCATATCATCTCTATTACTTTGGAACTTGCTGTACCGCTGTACTCCATTGCTTACAAGAAGACAAACAGTTTTTGAGAAACTAGCTACCACTGGCATGAAAACTGAGAAGAGCTCTAAGGCCTAGGTGTAGAATCTCCTTTTGAACAATCTGTTTATGCTTCTGGACAGCAACTTTGGGATTCCCTTTACCTCTCCTTTGTATGGGGAAGGTATTTAGGACATTCCAAATTACCTTTCAAAAAGAGTAAGAGAAGATACACAAATGCTGAGAAGTTTATTACTGTATTGAATGAGCATTTCAAAGGAGCAGCCTGTGAAACTGAGTGGAGCCTTGTCAGCAGATGTGAGAATCCAGTGGAGGTGCCTGTTGTCGGAGAGAGAGAGAAAGTGTGTCCCGAGATAGCCAAGGCTTGGGCAATGTGGAGATTTGAGAGTCATAACCAGCACTTTGCATTAGGCTTGGAAACAAACTGGCAGTCAATGCAGATGTTTCAAAACGGTTCCCAACAGCTCATAAACAAATACAGTGGTATATCGGGTTAAGTACTTAATTTGTTCCAGAGGTCTGTTCTTAACCTGAAACTGTTCTTAACCTGAAGCACCACTTTAGCTAATGGGGCCTCCTGCTGCTGCTGCTGCTGCGCCGCCGGAGCACAATTTCTGTTCTCATCCTGAAGCAAAGTTCTTTTTTTAAAAAAATAATATTTATTACTTTTCCAACAATTTAAACACTACAAAAAAAAGAAAAATACAATACAATACAATACAATACAATACAATACAGAGACACTACAGAGACACTACATAACACTAACACATTAAACTAACAAACAAAACAAAAACAGTTTAAAACACATCAAACAATTTCAATATCTTATCTTTCATTCACTTATTTCCACGACCTCCTCACACCTCCCTTTTTGTATTCCACTTCTGTTAATTGTTTCAGCAATTCCTTTCCATCTTCCTCTGTTTTCTATCCTATAATTATCTTACCACATTCTAACCTTATTTTTTCCTTTAATATTCTATTAATCTATTTATACTTAATTCCTTATAACATTTCTACTAAAGCCATATAACTTCATTCCAACATTCTTCTAACATTCATTAATTTTACAATATTTCTGTAAATAGTCTTTAAACTTTTTCCAGTCTTCTTCCACTGACTGAAGCAAAGTTCTTAACCAAAGGTAATATTTCTGGGTTAGCGGAGTCTGTAACCTGAAGCGTATGTAACCCGAGGTACCACTGTAGAGGCATTCTGTACCAGCTGATTTCCAGACAAATTATTAAAGTTGGACCCACACAGAACACTGAGGTCACTGGGACTTGAATGGCAGTTTCTAAAATGGAAGGTTTCTAAAATGGAAGATACATCTGGGATGCATTTTGCTAAACCTGAATGCAATAGCCAACCTTACCATCAATTTTACACACACACACACACACACACACACACACACACACACACACTATGGACTCTAAGAAAATCTTACTCAGCTACGAGTGATCACCAAAGAATGAATACACACAAACACATTTCCCCCTTTAAAATGGCAGGATAACCTACTATATTCCAAACGGCGTTTAAAAATTTCTCTTTCCAAAGAAGTTTGCCAGTGCAGTGCAGGAGCTACAGTTAAAGACACTTTTGCTCAAATTGTCCAGAAAACCAGAGTTAATTCAGACTGGAAGAGGGTGAAAATTTGGCTTGAATTTGGTCTTGAATTTATGTGAACATATGTAAATGAACACCTGAATACTTATCTCTAATAGGCAGGTGTGACCCCAGGTGTATCCACAGCAGTGGGCAGAGGAGGAATGATTGCTGGGAGGAGTGCAGAGAGAAGAAACGTCATAGCACACCTGTATCAGCACAACCAGACGCCTTTAGTTGCCCAGCTGCAACAAGACATGTCTCTCCCCTATCGGTCTCTACAACCACGGCAGGCTCTGTAACCTTCCAACAGTTTGACTTCACCCCCAAAGGCGCACTCTTCCATTGTCTTCCAGGACAGACAGAGGCCAACAACAACAACAACAGTTAGCTTTCATGGACTTAGTGAATGGTTTTGAAAGAAAGGCCTGTTGTTTGTTCAACTAATACTTTTCTAATATAATTAAATATAACTAAAAGTTTATCTTACAATTTTTTTAGTGCATTTAACAACCATAGCAGTTCGTAAATACCAGGTTTCCGGTGTAAGTGCTTTCTGTTTGCTAACTACTGTGCATTTTCTTCTATGCAGTAGGCCTCTTTGAGTTGTTAATCAGCAGCTGTCTGAAGCTTTCCCCCCCTCTTGCAGTGCTGCTACTGATGTCACTTCCCCCTTGGCAAACGCCTACGGAGGCTCTGCTGCTTTTGAGATTGGTCACAGGGAGGGGAGAGAGAGAGAGAGAGAGGCTGAGTGAGTGCATTCTGTGTCCTGGGACCCTGTTTACTTAACATTCCCAGCCAAGGAAGCCCTGGTTTAAACAGGATTGCGGATGCAGCCTGTCCATTACAGATGAGGAAATTATTATTCTGCGATTCTAGAAATTCCTTTGTTTAAGCCCCTAGCGTGGATTATGAGAATGCAGAATGCCTTTCCTTTTGGGCCTGCGGCAGGTAACTTGTTTCTGGTTTGTTTGTTTGTTTGTTTGACTAGCTAGGGTGGAGAATGTGAGATTTTGCTGGCTTAAAAAAGAAGAAAGAAAATCAGCTCTGCTTGCCTTGTGAAGTGAGCCACTCAAGTAAAATCCAGTGCGATCTTTTGTCTTCCTCTGTTGTGTTTATGCCAGGGGAAAAACAAATCTATTTTACTTAACATTGAATAATGCTGCAGATAAAGGGAAGAAACTTTATTATTATCTGAAGCAAAAAATTTGTCCGTGTCCCCCCCCCACTTTATTCTATTTTATGGCTTTCACTTTTGGTTTTTGTGTGCTTTAAGGACTTTTAGGGGTTTAAAGCTTACTTGGGTTTTGTGTTTGTGCTTTGGCTGAGTTCTGGTTTAGAGTAAACAAGAAACAGTCAACAGCTTCTAATCAGAAACTGTCAGAGCTAACAGTGCACATGCTTTTTAAACCCGTTTCTGAATTTGTGGTGTCTGTGCTGGAGTTTTAAAGTACTCATAATTTTATTACTACTAACCAACATACATAGCCTGGAATGAGTAAAAGCAGCAAGTCACCCAGCTGCTCCCTGGTGGGTAGCAGCCGGCTTCTACCAAATTTGAATCAGCTTTAGTCCAGGAGCTATTTGTTCCAGGAACAACATCTGATTACTTGTACACCTCACCTAGCTTATGTTCTTAGGCAAGTAAGTGTAGCAAATGAAGTTTGGAGGTATTGCAGGTATGTGAGCATTAAAGTTTTCTCTTTTCTTTCCTTTTTTTGATGGTGAGTGTTGTTAGTTTTACTTTCCAAAAAGCACTCTAAAAAGTGAAAAACAGCTGTTTTGTTTGTAGCTACCTAGTTTATTTTTTAAAACCAAATCTTTTTTATTTGGGCTTACATAATGCTATTCAAGAATTGAGACAAGAACTACCTCTAGCGCAATGACCTTTTGCCACTGACTGCTCTGCTTACTTGAAGCGGGCAGAATAAATTTAGGTTATATGTAAAGTTCTAAATAGAACTTAAGATTCGGTTATGGCTATAGTTCTATTGGAGAAAAGGAAAGCTGTGGGCTGCCAATTTAAGGGCATCAGTTTGGGGAGTATGCATGTTAAGCCTCCCAAGAAATGTTGAAATTGAACCAATTGACCTTGTTGGAATTACGTCAGCAACAGATAGCTACGTGTCTTTAGAAATCTTTCAAATCCATGTATATTTCCATAAAGGAAATTTGGGCACCTTCTGGGGTTTCTTTACTGATGTAGGAAGCCTCAAAGGAGGCAATCCAGTTTCTGAAACCAGTTTGTTTACCTTTTCTTTGTTTCACTTCATTTTTCTCTTTGTCCTTAGCTGCTTAGTTGCTTACTGTTTGCTCCTGTCTGTGGTTCACAGGGCCAGTCTGAGCAGCAAAAGCAGTTGCCTTATCCTTTCTGCCTACTTGAACTTATAGCATATAGCTGTTTGGAAACTGCTGTGTAAATGCAATAAGCTCCCTGTGCTGTGTTAGCTACATATCTGCCAGTTTAGTGTATGTTAGAAAATAAACTGATTTCTAATTTTTCTGAAGCTATTTTAGAGTTGTAAACAATAGGGCCTTATTTCAGTATGACTAGATCAAATAGCTAAAGCATAGGCCCATAAATAGTTCACAAGATACACCTTAGGCTGCTTATTATCTTTAAAGCAGCTATACTTTTTTTTCTTTCCTGATATTTGTCTAGGACAAAATCTTCTAAAAATCACTAACAGAAGTAGATGCTTGTGAAATTTAACTAAACAAAATAATACTATTGAAGAAAATAAGTTTGTAGTTGTTATAAGAAAGCTCAGGGGAGACTTTTGGAAGTTCACCCCTTGCTCAAGGCACTCACCATCCCTTGCAAGGTCCTCATGTTGGTCAGAGGTAAGAATCAGGATTGCAACCAAGTATAGAAAAAGCAAAGTAGCTAGTAAACTTGATCTTTATTGGTCTGTTGAAACAGAGGTTCCCACTTCCAAAACAAGAAGCGGAAAAAGAACCCCAAACAGAAGTGAGTTACAATTTTTTTAATGCTTGTACAGCCACCACCCAACCCAATCACAGAAAGCCCACCCAACAAAAATGCAACACACTGTCACAAAAATGGATGTACATGTAAATCAGATCACGCTAAGAGTTCATGTTCAGCATATTTACCAGTCTGTCAATCAAGATGCCTCACAATACCTGATAATTGCCCTTCCTGGCCTATCTAAGACATCTTTTTGAAATGGTGAATTCCTTGATGCCAGAATGGATTGTCACAGACCTGTCCCCATTCATACACAGGAATCTGTGATCCCTCTTTAAACTGGAAGAGGAGTGCAGATGTTGAGCAGTACAGTTATGCATTAAATTTGTTTTGTTAGTGCTGAAGTTGTAGCTTTTGCAGCTTTAGTGTAATGGCATTCAGGCTATACTGTATGGCCATCAACATTAGCTTTAAAGTGCTCCTGCTGTGAAATAGTTTGTTGGTTTGTTACGTTATGTATTTATGTGTTTTTATAATGTAAACTGCCCTGTGATCTTTGGATAAAGGGCGGTATATAAATCAATCAATCAATCAGTCAGTCAATCAATCAATCAATCAATCAAACAAACAAACAGTCTTTTTATTGACAATTCTCTGTGCAGAGCATTTCTTTCTAGCCCCTCCCTTTCTTCACTTGTGTACCACTTCAGATCTTAGTATCTGTTTGCCCATTATGTCCAAATTTGAGGAACTCTGGTTAAATATAAATTGATCAGCTAAAATCTGATGATTTATGAAGTCTCAATCCAAATTAGGCCGCTGAGTTTTTTTACTATTGGACAACTAAGCAGTTATTTTTAAAGTTGCAATTGAAACTCAGTGTTCGAAGCTGGGATAAAAAAGCTAGGAGCCAAATGGCTTCTGGGACCTGGGTTGTGGGCACCAAAATAGAATGTCTTGTCGTCACTGGAAGGGGGGGTTAGCAACACTTTTTTATTTTGTTAAGCATGAATTAATACGCAATTCACATAAGTGACACATTGTTAATATCACATTTTTAATGTTTAATTTGGTGTTTACAATAAAAATATTGGTATCATACTTAAGTTTTCAAAACACTCTTTATTGTTAAACTCCTTAACTTATTGTCTATCCTTAACATATACTCCGAGGCTTCAGAGCACATACAGTGGAACCTCGTGTTACATACCGTTCTCCTTACAAAGACTTCGGGTTACAAGCTCTGCTAACCTGGAAGTAGGTCTCCTGGTTGCGAACTTTGTCCCAGGATGCGAGCGGAAGTTGCACGCCGGCGCTGCGGCAGCGGGAGGCACCATTAGCGAAAGTGCGCCTCAGGTTAAGAATGGTTTTGGGTTAAGAATGGACCTCCGGAACGAATTAACTTCGTAACTGGAGGTACCACTCTACATTTCAGTAATCCTTGAGTGTCAGCCAGGCGCAAAAAATGGCACCCAGAGGTGCTCGCAAATGGAGAATCTTTAGGCACAAAATGTGCCTGGTGCCCTGCTAATTTCGAACCCTGGTTCTGCTTTGTTGTTTAACATGTCCCTTTCAGGTGAGATACCACAGTTGTGAAGGTAGTTTTTCCGGGGTGAGGCCCATCCATTGCAATCTGCGTCTGCTGACCCCTGCAATTTTTCCAAATGGAAGAAACGTGATTGCATAATTTCTGGTGTTGGGGAACTGTGTTCATGCTTTGCCTTCATCCTTGAGAAGGGCTGTAGCTCAGTGTTAGAGCAAGTAGTTTGCTAGTAGAAGGTTCCCAGTCCAATCCTCAGCATATACTGGTAGAGCTGGGAGAGAGCCCTGCCTCCTGCCTTGGAAAATGGTTGCCAGTGAGTGTAGACAATAATGAGCTAGATTGACCAATGGTCTGACATGGTATAGGTAGCTTCCTATGTTCCATCTTCTAAGATGGTTGGAGTTGAGCATCCCCCCCAAAAAAACTTTACCAAGTTTGAACATCAATTAACTTGGCTGTGTAGAATATTCTGCAGTCCCTGGACAAGGGTCTACAAATGTACTGGTCACATAGCAGTGGTGAGTCTATCTCTGGGCAAGGTTAGTGGAAAGTGAATGATGCTCCTGGGCTTGCTGGGTTTTGGAAGCATTTTGAAGCACTTAGGCTTCTCAGTGCTTTCTGTGGTAGTTTCTTCTCTATTTTGTTTCTAAATTAAAATCTTTAATTAAAGAGAGAGGGAGAGACAGAACTGTAACAGTGCATAGTACAAAGAAGAGATTCAGCACAGTCAAGACTCAGAGCACAAAGAAGTCAAGGCCATGAATATGACCTATATGCAATAAGCTCTTTCCATAGAGATCTGTCAGGAGATAATAATCATGTAGAAGAGTCACTACTGTTGGCATATGAAATAAAGTGACACCACACAGATTGAATTCACATGGTTATGCCTATCCATTTAGAGCAGGGGTGGGGAATCTGTTGGACTGTTGGGTCCCTGACTGTTGGCCATGATGGGTGGGGTGGGGCTGGCAGGGGTTAAGAGTCCAAGAATATCCCAGGGGAGGGGCACAGATTCACTAACCTTGGTTTATAAAGATAGCTTTCGGGGTTGTGGGGGGAGCCAGAAGATTTGCAGACACTGTGAATTTATCAATTTTGGCCTATAGTTGAAAGCAGTTGAGACGAAGGAGCGGGAAATAGGGGATTGGGGGAGAAAGGAAATGGGCCTGCTCAAGCCCCATACTATATCCTAGAGTGGGGAAAGGGGCTATGTGTCATTAGATTTTTTTAAAAGAAGCTTATTTTGAGCAGTTCCTATTCTGCGTTAGCTGGAGCCCTAAACAGAAGGACTGTTCAGGAATTGGGATGCGCTACAACATGTTGCAAGTCCATTTTTTTCTGCTTTAGATGTAAGGGGCTTCCCTCAACAGAAAATGGCACTCCAGGTTTTCCTCCTTTCTTTCCAGCCACCTCTCATGCTGTTCTTGGGGTTTGTTGACGGTGGGAGTTTTTGGCAACAAACCTAACGGTGCATTTCTATACTAGTTAGTAAATTAAGGGGTTAGGGACCACATAGCTGTAATTTTATAAGGTACAGCTAGGTCACACCCCTTCACCTTCAGGGATGGAGGAAGTATTGTCTGTTTCCTGTTCCTCTTTCTCCCTCTCTTCTGTTCAAACCTTGTAAGCTGAGCATACATCTGAGGCTAGGACTCGGACCATGTATTTGAGACTTAACTTTCTGTATTTTGCGATCAATAATACCTTGCCTTCTGTATTTTGCAATCAAGAATACCTTCTGCTGTAGCATTGAGTGATGCATGAGTGAGACCTGTGTTTCTTGGTCTTTTATTGTATTGCATATGAATAAAGGCAATGCTAATGTAGATAGAATTGCATGTGGTCATCCATTTAGGTCTATTTTATGTTGTTTTGTTGCTCAATAAAGTTGCACTGCATGACTAAGGAGCAAGACCGAGGATCCTTGCAGAGTCTTGCTGGAGCGCAACTCTGTTGCTGCCTGGAACCTGAAAGCTGAGCCCCAGCATTTTCTGTAACGGATCCTATAAACACTTTTGGATTGTGTGCTGCTTCATTGGCACCCCTAAAAATATTGCCTCCCCAAGCAACTGCTTGGGTTGCTTGTCCAGTCAGGTGTTCTTCCACATAGTACTGTTTAAGCAGTAGCTGAATATAGCCATAAGCCCCCATGAAAAACAAGAGCCCCTTACGCAGAAAGATGTAGCACAGCATCAAACATTTATTATTAATTTAGATTGGTATTGAAGCACTTCTGAAAGGTTTGGTACTGTTAAAGCAGTAAGATAAACTGTATACTTCTAGTTGAATATTAACTATAGTAAAATTTATTTCACACTGGCTCATTGTGAATATGAAAAACCAGCTCAAGCTCTACCAGTTCTGCAAAGTGGTCTGAAGTGGATTAAGCTTCAGACCTTTCTGCTGTAAGGGATATTTTCCCAGCTGCACATCATGTCTACAGCTTTGTTGTGAATCAGGTAATCTTTCAACAGCTTTTTATGAAGTATCATAGCATAGAAGTGCTCCAGACACAGGTCTGCCTACGCAGAGATACAAGTACATCTTAAGTATAGTTTTAACTCATTTCTCCACACTTTTAAAGCCATTGTTAATTTTGCATTCAAATTGCCACATTTTTAAAAAAAAAATGTGCAGGGTTTTGAGAATATTCTATATTCACTAACTGATTCTTAATTTCTTAATTGAAGGTTATAAAACCATATTGTTCAGTTGGGGGCTCTTCAGATCTAACACCATTACTTTTCTCCTCTAGACCTAAAATAACATGTGATCTGTAAAACTAACTTTTAGTTGGTTCAAAAAAGCCCAAAGAAATGATACTGAACAGGTTCCATTTTCTAGAAAATCATGCATATATGGACAAGGTCATTGTTGGTACATTTCTGAGCATATACCTAAGATGTTTTAATGTCCCAAGGCCATACATTTTTGTGATCTCCCTCTTTGTAAGTGGAGCAGAAAGTCTGCCCATAGAGCAGGCACAGGCAAACTCGGCCCTCCAGATGTTTTGGGACTACAACTCCCATCATCCCTAGCTAACAGGACCAGTGGTCAGGGATGATGGGAGCTGTAGTCCCAAAACATCTGGAGGGCTGAGTTTGCTTATGCTTGCCATAGAGGACTTCTTGTTGCAGCTACATAAATCTTTCTGTCTTTCCCTCCATCATCAGTACTCTGGTCATAAAGTCATAAAGTAGGAGTTTGGGGGCAGATCAGGGTAGGCCTTTGATCTGTTAGGACCCAAAGGTTTCCCATTCACCTGACGTGCCCCCAGAACAGGAAAAGTACACTAGCCCTTGAGCTGGCATATTGATTTTCCTTTCCATTTGTTTGTTTATTATTTCAGTTTCTATCCCACCCTTCATCAATGGATGATTCAAGGTTGGGTAATCAAAAAGCCCAAATCAAAAGCACTAAAATAATTTAAACAAGTAAAATTTAACAACCGTATACTAAATAAACTAAACAATATAATAAAATGGCAGGATAGCAAAATCAAATTGTACTTCATACATTGAATCAGCACAAAAAAACCCCTGAAGAATGGGGAGGAAAAGGGAGGCCTCCCCCGCCTTGTTTTCTCTGCCTTGGGTTCTTCCTTCCCCACTGCCTTCTGATTCACCTGTCCAAATGTAAAATGCAAATGTAACAAATACACGCATTGTACAGGCACACTTGTCAGGAAGCTGTAACTGGCTGTGGCTCCATATTGTACTTGCCCCTGCATGATGCATGAATTGGTTATTTTTAGGGTGAGGGAGCTGCATTTTAGAAATTAAAGGAACCTGTAGTACGTTGCCATTCTTTGAAGGCTCTTGGGTCTTTATCTATCGTCCCATGACCAGTCCCCTATTCCACAGGCTTGTTTTGGAAAGTGCTTTGTCATATACTCCTGGTAGATGCTCCAAGGGATGTCTGGACAGTACAGAATGTGACTACTTTGTTCATTGTTCTGGAAACCTTTTTAATTTTTGGATCTTTAAGAGTAAAATGGAATGCAGCTGTAGATAGCATTTCAGGGACCACAGGCAGCCTTGATACTTAATTTCAGCTGGAGTCTTAGCTCGAACTTCTGCTAAAGGCTACATGATTTCTTTGAACCCTGTTGTGGGTGAAATAGAGGAGTGCCCCTTCTGCTGTGAAAGGATGCAGGAGATGTTTCCTCTTTTAGAAACTATCTTAGCACTTTATGGGCACTTTGAAAATGAAGTCAGATGTCTGGCTTTTGAGGGAGGGTGCTAACTCTAACTGGGGTAGTGGGTGTTGGTGGGAATGTTAATGCTGATGCCCATGTCTCTAGATCCAAAAATAGAATGAGTCTCCTTTAGGAATAACACAGCATGTATCTTTGTTTACTTGGGCCAAAGCCAGGATGGTGGTTTTCAGGGGGGAATAACAGTGGGATGGGTATGCTTAAACCTTTCAGAGGAAATATTAAAATAATGATGATGATGATGATTTCTAATAAATTTTTAAGTACTCACTTTATACTATAGCTAACTTGGCTTGCCTTTCATGTTGGGCACTCTGATGCCAAATGTTGTAATTTGGGCTGCTCCACAGCTCTGCAACCACTTGCCTGTATTGTATGTGCATTTAAACCAGGGAATCTGTGACATTGTTTGACTACACATCCCATCACCCCTTACCCTGCTGGGTAGGGCAGATGGAAGCTAGATATGTGTTCCTGATGACTGAAGACATATATTGCATTTCTGGAAGACAAGGGAATCTTCCAAGGCCTGAATCTTTCCAAACTTGATCATGCGACTGCACTTTTTCTCTTACACCATAAAGCTTCATGCATATTGATCCTACTATAAAAATAAACCAGCATCACCTTGGTTTTGCTGTTTGTTTTATACTATAACTTAGATTTGCATGACTTTTCATAGTGCAATGGTTCAGCTGTGCATTTTTTCCCCCAGGACATAAAACAAAGACTCCAGAAATTACTTCAACACCCATTATATCTCTGCCCTTACTCTGGCAAGAGGGGTCATTGCCATTGGGTGGTAGTTGTTTTCCATCTCTTAACTGTCCACAGAGATGGCCTTCAGGGAGGATTATGTGATGATGAAAAAGTATGACTGACTTGGCTTCTGTCCTAGACTGCAGGAGTATTCCAGGAAGATATTTTGTTGGAATGTTTATTTTATTTTAAAAGTTCTGCAAATTAGGCAAGAATTACTTCAGAGTAGGGTTATATGGTAGTAAATGTTATTTTCATCTAATTGAGCCCAGATTGCCCTCTCTTCAATTATTACATTTTCTGATTCTATAAGTGCAAGACTTGAAGCTGTTAACAACAGTGGAATTGCAGTGTATTTGAAACACACACCATGAGTGGGTCATAAAATTTTATGCCTCAATATACCAAAGTGAAAATATCTATGGGTCCCTTCATCTCAGTGCATTAGGCATAAATTCATGTACCTAATCACAAGCGGGGGGGGGGGGTTTGTTACATTAAAAATGAAAACCTTATATGATTTTAATGTAAAATATTCCTACTTGCAGTAGGGTGGAAATCTGAACGCTTGATTGCATTGTCTGTCCTAAGTAAGGACAGCAATAAGATGGTAAAGTTTAGAGCAGAATGGTGCTAGTTCAGATTGAAGAAGGGGGATACCATTTTTAATGCTCCCTCCAATTGTTCCCATACCCTATTGTAACTGAAATAACTGCAACACATTATCCTCACTCCCTTTACCTCTGCCTCCTCTACATCTGTTGTTTCCCTTGTGTGTCTCCTTTTAGAATGCAGAACCCTGGTTAAACACCATCCTGCATAGATGGCACCATATAAATAGCAGCTTAAGAAACCCCATGACAGAAGAAAACTAGTGTAGCAGGGAGAAGTGTTCTAGTCCAGTTCTTTATATGCTGTCCTAACTTTCTACTTAAAGAGCTGGGGGTGGGGTTATTGCAGAGGGGTGTTCAGAATCCACACACACACACACCCATAGACTGAAGAGGTACAATCCATTCTACCATATCATCTGTACTTCTTCCTTCTGCATGTAGGAACCTAGCCTGGAAGGTTGATGATGGATGGTAGGGTGTGGGAGCACCATGGAACTGACTGATATCCAGGAAAGTAGAGATGCCTAAACAGCTGCAGGCAATCTGTGACCTTGAGCAGCTGCCCTGGGCTCATGCATGTCTTGCAAGCAACCGGAGGCTTAGTCCAAGTTTAATGTATTTGGGCCTTCCTCACTAACCTATTCCTCTCTTACATTCTAGGACAAAGAGCCCTGCATAGGAATCAACAATCAAAGCTACATCTGTGAAACAGGCCACTGCTGTGGACAGTCTCAGTGCTGCAATTACTATTATGAACTCTGGTGTAAGTTTCTTGTTTTTATAAACAGAAGTGAAATTCTTTTCATAATCTGAGTCAAGGGCATTTCAGTTTCATCCACTTTTGGCTTTATCCAGAGACAAGGTGTTAGAGCGGGTGATAGGTGTCCTTCCCCAGACTGAAAATGAAAATGATTATGTTGACTCACTTCAGCCAGACTGCCCTTGCCATGACCTTTGCTAGAGACGCACAGGGGGAGTGTGTGTGTGTCCTTGCTAATTCTCCAGTCAACCAGTGTACCTTTCTGCACCACCTGTCAGGTTTAGGGGTGTGTGATTTCCCACCCCAGGGGGATGACCCTGTCTGGTGCCTCAAGTTTCTATTCTGTCTCACATGTTATTTAATATCTGCATGAAATTACTGGGAGAGGTTGTGCAAGGTTTAGCTGATGTCAACAGGATGCCCACTTTCTTCTTGGATTCGGGTGAGGCAGCAGAGTTCTTGAACAGGTGTCTGGAGCCAGTAATGGGTGAGGGCCAGTAAAATGAAGCTCAAGTCAGAGATGTTCATGGCTGGTGGGCCTATCAAGCTGGAGTAGATGTACAACCTTTTCTGGATGAAGTTGTGCTCCATCAACACATGGGGTTCATGATTTAGGTGTATTCCTTGAGCCAGCATTGCTGCTTGATAATCAGGTGATGACCATGGCAAGAATTCTCTCTTTCCAACGATGTGACATGTGCCAGCTATTTACAGTTCTGCAAGATTGACACTTAGCCTCCATCATTCATTCTTTGGGAACCCCTGTTTTAAATTATTTACAATGAGGGTTTGCCTTTGACTGGGGCTGATGGGAGTTGTAATCCAAAGCTTGGGGGGGGCACCAGGTTGGGAAAGGCTGGGGGAAGCACCCAGCTTAATCAGCTGAAAGGAAGTGTGTTTTGTCTTCCTGAAAATGTAATGTTTTAGCACATTGAGCACAGGATTAAGCACCAAAGTGGATTTTAGAAGGTGAACATTTCTTGTCGCCATTCTCGGTACCCTAACACTGAAAGCTCCCTGCCTTTTCATAGGTCTTGCTGTTCATTTTAACTTTATTTACCACCTTAACTTGTGGGAAGGAGTCATGGGTTGAAACAGAGAATCTCTCTTCACCTAACATGCTTCATGAAACATGATCCCATGTTTTAGCTGTTGGGAGTGGTTACAGTCAACAGAGTTTTCCCCTTTTGAAGAGCAAAGCTGATGGGAAACCGAATCAGTGGTGTTTGTTATGGGGTGGAAGGAAGAGTAAAATACATGATATGTCAAGCAGGTGGATTGGGTTTAAAGCTAGATGGTGCTAGCTAGATCCAAGTTCAATTTTGTTTTAAGATGAAGCGGGCATTGAAATATCTTGTTGCCAAAATCTATTGCTAAAACTCTTGAACACTTTGTATTGAGAACTAAAAATTAATAAAATAAACCATTTTTCATTCTATGAGCAGGGCACATGGGGGGAAGTGGGCAAAAAGCCCTCTTGTGCTTGCACTGGCTTCCACTAAGTAGCAAGGCTCATTAGTTGGCTCCAGCCCAATCTTTGTATCTGATTTTCTTGTCTTGTGTCTTTTTCTGAACTTGATGTCTTGGTATGGCGTAGGTTTTCCGTTTGATACTGCTGTTGAATAGTTTAGTCTGAAATGGAAAATACTGGGGTGCGGGGGAATCTATTCCTTGTTCATGTTTGAGCGAAATTCCATGTGACTTCCCTTCCTAACTAAATTTATAGCAGTTACAAAAAGATGCACATCTGGTAAAACCATATTGTTCAGTACCATGCAGGAAAAGTCATCCAAGTGGGAAGGTGGTTCTGTTTTGCCTTCTGCTGTTTTGCATTTTGTGATAATCTGCTGTAGAAATATTCATTCTGTCAAATCTGGGGCATGTTAATCAGTTTGAAAAGTACCAATTGGCCCACTCTTGCCCTAGACCCTGCATCCTTCCTAACTCACTGGGCTACCTGCCTCACTGATTCCCCTCTCCACTGTCTTCATAAACAGAAATTCTTCCCCTGCTAACCGTCATTGATTGACTGATTATTTGTTTATTAATTTACACCCTGCCCTTCCTCACAAAGGAGCACAATGGCAAGTGGTAAAACAACAAAACATCATAAAAACAATTCCAATACAGATGTAGACTGGGGAAAATCTCAACTTTAAAAGGCTTGTGGAAAGAGGAAGGTCTTCAGGTGGTGCTAAAAACAGAACAGAGATGGCACTTGTCTAATATTAAAGCAGTTTGAGCATTTAACTTGAGGAGAAAAGGTTGTGCCTACTTTGGGGTGTATTTATCTAAAAGAAAACAAAAATCTGTGCTTCTCTTGTCCTGCTTACAGGTTACTTCCTCCTTTTGGAGGTAAGTGGGAAAGGGAAGGCAGTTTCCAGTTCACTTAAGCAAGTAGCTTTTTGGACTTTTTATAACCTTGCTTGGAAGTTCCAACAGAAACTAGCCAGAGAAGAAACTAGCCAGCTTAAATGTTTCTTTGTTTTATAATTTATTTTTCTCTTGCTCTGACCTTCACACGTTCTCTTGATATTTATTCAGCTTATTTATGTAATAAGTCTGTCCACAGGGATTAAAGGTTGCATTCTAGCTTCATAAAATAGGCTGCCCAGATTTCTTGGTTTTATGCTTTCTTGGAAAAGGCTGTATGCCCAGATCAGCAAGGGAAATCCAGAATTCTGGCTGGGTCAGACACATAACTTCCTCATAGCGGATGCTTTTTCCCCTTTCTCTTTCCCTTTTTTCTTTTTCTTTTTCTTTTTGAGTGTCCAGTATACCTAGAAGACTCCTGATGGTGGCCGTTGTTTAAAAATAGTCCCTGCTAATTGACAAGTCACTGTCCTTGTTTAAACATAATGCTAAACCAGCTCATGTAGAACTCACACCACTGTTCCTACCCAGCATGGCTACAAGGAAGAATTCAAAGATTTTGCTTCTGTTTTAGATTAAACACATCTTGTTGTGATATCTGAATCTGAACCAACTATAGTTAATCTTAACAATGGTATATTGAAACAAGCTAACTTAGAGCAGTAGTTTAGGAACCTGGCTTGTTTAAATAAACTATAGCTGACATTAACCACCTTTTTGGGGAGAGAGATGTTTTAATGTAATTTAAAATTTAACAGAATACAAAAAAAGAAAAAATACAGTTAATGTCCTTTGTATGCATTCACAAAACAAAGATTCAGAAATTGTCTGTGGACAAATGCCAGCTCTCTCGGCCTGAAGCAAGATGAGCACCGCACCCCATAGTCGCCTTTGACTGGACTTAACCATCCAGGGGTCCTTTCCCTTTCCCTTTTACCTTTCCAATGAGAGCACACCTCATTCAGTTAAAAGCCATATCCCTGGGAGAAATGTACCAAACCCAAGAAAACATGTCTTTTGTTGATTCCCATTATTAAATCAATTGGGAGTTGCTGATTTAGGATACCTCATCCCCAGCATGCACAGTTAATTATTTGCAGAATCTTTTACTGTCACAGAATTCTGTGGAAAATCATGATTTAATGCATCACATTAACTCTTGTTGAATCTAGATAAAGTTTCAAGCAGGGATTCAAGGAGTCCAGTATTTTCCCTAGCTGTGAGGTTTAGGTGTTTACTGCTGAGGATTCTGTGTTCAAGCCAGCAGTGTTATTAGAGAAAAAAGGAACAGTATTGAAATGCTGCTGTTGGTTTCCCCAACCATTGCACAACATAAATACCAGTGTTGACCAGCCTTTGCCAGGCTGCTACCCTTCAGGTGTTTTGGAGTACAGTTCTTGTCAATGCCAGTCAGCACAGCTTGCAAAATATCTGGAGGGCATGAGCTTGGCAGAAGATGGTATTGACTCTCCCAGGAAAACTGTTTAATAAAGTGTCCACCTTTCTCATACAGTCTCCAATGTGGGCTTCTGTTCCTGGTAACACTTGAAAAACTGAGGTACATCAGAGCTGAAGCATTGGCTTGCTCTTTGAGAGGAAACTATATACAGCCCTTCCTCCACCAAGAACACTGATAATATTTAGCGTTTATTAAGTGTTTCAGAGTATTCAAAGCTCTTCATGATAGATAATCTTTGCGACAACATTGTAAGAGGTAGGCCAGCATTATTTCCCCCATGTTTTAAAGTGGGCTGGGAGTGGTTTGCATAAGGCAGGGGTGGGGTACTTAGGCCTGTTGGGCATCCCCATTTGGCTCATGAGACTTCTGAAAACTGACAGTCAGCTGATTGTCAAGGGCTTCTGTGGATCTATCAAAGTGCTCCCTAAGATAGTGCTTCAGAAGGGGCTTCTGCAAGACCCTTGTAAGCAACGAAGCTACCTGATGTCATGGTCATTTCTGGTGACTGACAGCTGGCATACTCCACCCACCTGTCAAACTTGGCCTGTGAAGGGTCGAGGAGATAATACTCCTGTCCACCAGTCAAATCCAGTTCTCCATCCATGCCCTAAGGCCATAATTAGCTGCGTACATTTCTACCTCAGTTGCTTAGCTTAAGAAGGCTGCCTGCAGTTCAGCAGCTAATTGCCGAGGGGAGATTTGAACCAGGACCTTTCGCAGCTCACTTCCAAGCACAGGCTCTTAGTAGCTGCCCCACACTTCCTCTACACTAATTCTCAAAAATGTCCCATTTCACCTTCTTTTGGGCCAGATAGCCTGAAGCCAAGGCCATCACCTAGCATGCTTCTAAGGCAGGCAGAGAAATGATTTGCTACATGTTTTGGCTTAGCTGCAATGAGGTTTCCTGCCAATAAAGCAGTGGCATCTACCCAAGTTTACTGTGAACTCTAGGGCAGACTATTCTGTTCCTGCTCTTGAACGCTAAAGGGGAAAACATGTTTTCCCGTTTTGCAAGAGTAAAAGGCACTTTCCTTTGTGAGATCTTTGCTTGGATTCTTGCCACTGGGGAAACATAGAAATATATCCTTTTGGTTGTTGTATCCCCAAGGATCTATAGGACAGCAACACATGCAGTTTTGAGCACCATAGACCTTCCCATGGTCTCCTCAAG